CTTTCCCGTGTGGAAACTGGGCACCAAGTTCACACACGTACAAAGGTAGAAAGGCCAGAATTTAAACCCCGATCATTCAACTTCGCGATCACTGTTCTGTACTGCCCGAGTGCATCCCGTCAGAAGTAGCTGAGCCTGGACACAGGGAGCACACACACGCGCCGGTTCTGGGCCGGGAAGCCCAGCAGGCTGCACCCTGGTGGGTAGGCCGGCCGAGGACAGCAGGCCCTCGTGGCGGCCGGTGGGTGGCTTGCCCAATGCCCGCTTTCTCTCTCTGGCTCTTGGATTGCAGCCAGCTCTGATGAGAAGTGACCTCGTCAGATCTAGAGGTCACTCGGGTTTCATGAGAAATCATTTATTTATTCACAAGAGTGTTGTCCCCATGACGTGGTCATCATAAGCCAGTCACCACCCAGTGGGCCTCACCCCATCCCAACGCAGATTCGGAACCATGTTATAGAGAACGTGATCCAAACTATAATGTCTACACTGGCCATGCACCTCTAAATTTGTTTTAGTACGAACAATAATATAAGTTAGCTTCTCTCAAAGACAGACAATATTCCTCATCTTCATTGATAGGCTCAGATATCGGCTAGCTCCTTTAAAGCTCCTTTCTTGAGCTGTCCCCATAGCACAGTGCTTAAGCCCTGTGTGTAGGGAGTCCGATTCCACACGGCCTACCCAGTTCAAATCCCAGCTGTGGCAGCCTGGAGAGCACTCGAGGCACACGCATGTGCCTGCCCCGAACCCTGACGGGTGGAGAAATGGGCAGGAGATGACCTCATGGCCCGCACCCCCGGGAGGTGCTCCCCTCGCTCTTACCCTCCTCTCCTCTCTCTCTGTCTCTTGGGCGATGCCTGTGTCCTCTGACAGCTAAAAACAGTAGTGATGTTCTGCAGTCCTTTGGCCAGTAATAGGCAACTGAGAACTCGCTGTCAAATATGTATTACATTTGTCTGCTGTGCCCTTGATCCATTTATTAAGGAAAAAATGAAGGTAGCCAAAAAACAAGCAAAAGAAAAACAAAGCAAAAGAAGCCCTGAGGGGGACCAGCAGTTGGCGTAATGGCTGTGTCACTGGACTCACATATAATCGACCACGGTTCGAGTCCCAAACCCAGTGGTTTAAACTCACACTGGGCACGTGTGCGTGCGTGCCCAAGATCCCGAGAGGAGAATGGAGGAGAAGGGAATACGGCGTGACCGTCCTCCCTGGGGGGGATTTCTCGCTTTCTGTCTCTCTGTCTCTGTTTTTCTGGCGAGCGCACATGCCCTATAGCAAAAACCTCTCCAAAACAAAAAGAACAGAAAAAAGCCCTGAGAATCAGCTAAACACTAACACCCACTCAGGATCATAAAAGAACCTTCACAAACATCTCACTCTACAGTCTTGTTTATTTCTCCATTTCTTTCTGTGTTCACTACATTCTCTTGAAGTAATATGCGCAGAAACCAAAAAAGATAATCAGAAACCTCAACAGGATATCTTTACATTACCTGCTATTTCTTTTCAAACGTTTTTAAAGGATAGCCTCTGAATAACGCTTTCAGCCTGAGATTTGTATATGCAGATTTCATTTGCTCTGTAGAAAAACTTTGCCTCTTAAGTCTGTGTTCCTGTCGGGCCATCAGAAAGGTCTCAGTGCGTGTTTGATAGAAGACACGCCGTGGCTTCCCCACGGGCTGGATGTTTCTCTGGCACCCTGCCTCTAAGAGTTACCCTGTTACCTGCTTGCCACTTTCCCCTTGTAGAGGCTGTGGCTATCACTGAAAATACTTAAACTGGATTTTATTTTTAACAGAGTCTATCTGATTTTATTAGATACCCAGTTAACCTAATTATGCCATCTGCCATTTGGGACATTTTCCCAGAGTCGTCTTAAAATTGTTACTTGTCACCAGTGTGCTCTGAGAGGTCTTGCTTTGCCTGGGACTCTCCCCTTTGATGGGCCTTTGTCTTTCTTCCCAGGCCGTTTTTGGGCTCCCAGAACATGTACTTTGTGTTTATTCAGCTTCTGTCCAGTGGTTCGGCCTGGTTCGCCATAATCCTTATGGTTGTCACGTGTCTGTTTCTCGATATCGTAAAGAAGGTATTCGACCGACAGCTCCATCCTACGAGTACTGAAAAGGCACAGGTAACCGCCCCTTGTGTTCCGTCTTCTTTTCAGCCAGAGGCTTTTGCTAATGAACAGCTGCTGTGACCGCTTATGCCAGGAAATCGGAAATAGTTTGCAAAATAAACCATACTAGCTGTGATAGTTTGAAAGTTGTTCTTTCTCACTACCAATAAATCATAACTTTTAAATTACATTGTTATTAATAAAATCACAGGATTTTTAAATATAAACTATCAAGTTATATCCAGATGATAATATAAATATATTTTAAATAATTTTATCATAGCATTTCATCAGATACATTTTATCAAAAGATAAAGCCGTGTCTTTAGAAACATTAGAGGTTAAATAATATTTATCAGGTTATTGTTTTCAGCAAAAGAGTTTGAAGTATGTTTGTAACCTAAACTACTTTTACGGATAGATTTATACAAAATACATTCTCTCGGTAAAAATTTATTAATACATAATAGACCACAGCAAATACCAACAGTATGTAGCATGGTGCTTAATAACAGAGTCTTTGGGGCCTGAGAGATCTCAGTTCAAATCCCGCTCTGTCATTTGGTAGCTTTGTAACTGAGTCTCGTTTCCCTTTTTGATAAATTATGACAGAAATGCCTCATTGCCATTTTAGTGAAGATTAAGTGAGAGAATGTTCACACACATACCAGTAGATGCTCAAGACGTGGTATTAGTACAATGTGTCTTTTCTGTATTATATTTAATTAGTACACAAGCTAGGAATCAATCTTAATTTGCCCTTTAATTGTACCCAGCATTGGGCATATACACCCAAGAACATACTCTGATCAGCTCATGCGCCCTCATACATGTGAAGTTTATTTCCTATCTAGTTTGCCCAGGTTGAGGTCGTTTTTTTAAATATGTTTACTACATGCCAAGCAAATGCTATTTATATTTTGGAAATTTTGTTGTAAATTTATGTTATAAATAGAGTAAGTGTTCCAGAAGTGATTTGAGATAGGCTTGCTAACAGTGTGCGAATGATTTTAATTTCAGTTGTTTGTATCAACATTTCTTTAGTACTTATTTATTTTGATAATTTAATCCTAGACAGCATGTATTTTAACACCATTGAGACAGAATGTATTTTAACACCAACCAGACAAACTTGAATTCAAATACAGTTTTGCTCATTTAAGATGTACCTCCTTGAGCAACTCACTTCGCTTAGCCTCACTTTCTGCCTCTGCAAAATCAGAATAATAATGACTGCCCTCCATGATCGTTAGAGATAATGAATCTGAAGCAGCTTATTAGGCCTGGATGTAGTCAGTCCTCAGCCGAAAAAGGCGATCATTGTAAGCCGTGATGAGGAGGAAGATGGTGTTCCATGGCACCGAGAGCCAGCCGGGGAGGACGTGCACAGGCCAGTCTCGCATGCCGTGCGCGTTTCTCGGTAGGGACAGACTTTTCCACTGTGCACTGCATTGCTTAGTGTGTGTGCGTAACCTTGCCTCGTTGTGTCTAACTTTCAGAGAGAGAAATACTTGCAGTAAAAGAATACTCTTTTTCATATGTTTAATGTGTTGTCTGTTATACTTTTTCTAGATCTCTATGGAGAACAATTTGTCTCTACACCTTGGCCTACAGTTAAACTTCACCAAATATATGAATGATACAGCTTTAAAAACTTAATTCTTTGTCAGAGTAAATCATGTGATTTATGATGTATATCCTTAAAAGTGCTACTCTAGGCAGAGCATTTGCAAATTTGTGATATATTTTTATAGAGATTTCTTAATGATGTAAAAGGTGATGACATTAATTCTTGTTATCTTCCCAATGGACTTTTTCTAAAGGATTATATGGAAGATATTTGGTACCTTAAGTTCATCCCTTAGGCAAGAAAAATGTTTAAAGTGTTTATATATTTTTTAATTCTTTTAACATGTTAAACGTAATTAAAAATGGAATCTGTGGTAAATCAGCCATTATACCTGTATGCAAAATCCAGTATGATCTTCCTTTTTGGCCCATTAAATTTATTTCTAAATGAATTAACCAGATGTTCTTTGTGGTCTAATCCAAGGAGGAAATCTCTGTTCCCATTCGGGGACCCTCTGGCCTGCGAGGTTGTTTTCTCTTTTGTTCTTTTTTAACAGGAACTGTGAGTGGTTATTTACACCCCCCATCCGACATCATTCCTTCTCTACAGCAGTAATCCGTATTATTGCAGGTTTACACCATCACTTCTGATTTCGAATATGGAGAAGTGGTCAGAAAGTTGCCAGCTCCTTCCCTGTTTACCAAAAGTAGCAAGAAAACGTATCAGAAGAGCTGTCAGCGCTGCTTCTGAGGCGGTTTTCTCCAGAGTAACAATGTGGTGTGAAGTGAAGAATAAATGCTTTGACGGCAGAGCCGAGAGCCCTGCGAGTGCCCGTCACGTGTGCACTCGGAGGGTGGCCTGCTCTCATGGGAAAGGATGTGTCTGTGGAGTTGTCCTGTGTCTGTCAGGTGACGGCGGCTCACTGACCGTGTCTGTCCCACCCCTCTTCTGTCCACTTGTAGATGTATTCCAACACTGTCGCTCTCAGTGACGAGTTCATCGCACTGCAGCCACTGCCGCGGGCCAGGACTCAGCTGAGCAGACTTAGGTAGAGTAGGAGGACAGAACCTCGTACTCCTCTGCATGCTGACGGTCAGCTCGGCCACCCAGGGACGGGCAGGCGCGTGGGTACAGAGTGGGCCTTTCTGTCCGCACAGCTCTGTCTCTGTCTCTGATTAGGCCTTAATGTGTATGCTAACACCAAAAACTATTCAGCTCTGCTTTGAGATGAAAGCTCCGCATGATAGCAGGACAGAGACCTGTACCTCGGTATGTAGTTTTACACCTGACTCCCTTTTCCGGCACGATGCTAATGCTTCTGCTTGCCATAGTACTCCGAGTTCAGAATGCTCCTGCATGGTAAGGAACTCAAGCTACAGGAGTCCATCAGAAAATGTAAGATGTTAAGTTGTAGTTACCTGAAGTGAGCTGCACATTCTTATCTTGCTTTCATCCGTGTTGTAAGTACACGTGCACGTTTGTGTGTGGACGCTGTGATGGCTGCTGAAGCGTTTCCCGTCCTTGCTGCTTCTTAGTGCATCTGTAACATGAATGGCGTATTTTCTATGTCTTAGAGATTTCTTCATCTCCACAGGCAGATCCACTTTGTCAGTTTCCATAAAAAATAACTGGTTGTCTAGAGATTTTTTGGATAGAAGGGAATGAAAGCTTCAGTCCTAGAACTTCTAATATTGAGATAGCAAAACTGTGTATTGATTTGAACTCCAGTATGCTCCAAGAGAGACAAGTAACATAACCGAACTGTGTTTTTAATTTTGTCACTTTTCGTTTTCTTTCCCTGTCACAGTGGCTTATGGATTCTTAGTCGTGTATATATTTTTAATTTTTTTATTCTCAAAGTTTCTAAGCAATCTATATTTACTTGAGCAAGTGAATGGCTTTCACAAAGCACCAGTAAAATAAGCTTTTATGTAACTCCATGAGTTCATAATGTTGAGCTGTTCTAAAGTATCAACCTTCTGGGGTTTTTATTATTAAATGCATGTTTTTTTAAATATTCTATTTTGAATTACAAAGGCGTAATAATTCTGGATGTATATGCAAGTAAGTGTTTGAGTGGTAGTTAACCAAATTTCATATTTGAAATGAGAGCTAAAACCAAACTTGGAGATTTGCCTTCGCTTTTGATTGAGCTAAGTACGTATGCCAGTTTGAGTTGTAGGTGGCTCTCTGAAAACAGTGGGTACCTCTCACATTTTTCAACATCTAATTATTTAACTAAGACCAGAGGAGCTCGTGACCTAAGGAACACTGGCCAACTCTGCTGCCACATAAAGATGCCCTGTGCATTGTGAATAGTCATTTTTATGAAATTGTGTTTTCTCATCCGTTGGCTTAAATCAAGCCACGTTTTTAAAGCAATACGAGACTTAAAAAGAGTGAGCAAGGAAGCCATAAATCAAACGGACCCCCGGCTGTCACAAACTAGTAAGCCGAACTTCCTGTGCAGGATCACAGTGGAGCAGGCTGAGCCGGTCAGAGCCTTGCCTGGCGAAGGGCCCGCGCCCTGCGTGCAGCGTTAGGCGGGCGCCATTCCCAGAGTGTCCCACCCAGGTCACTGCACCTTTCTGGGCCTCTGGAATGTCACCTACCAATGAGTCGTTTTAGATGCTAATTCACTGCCAGCTTCAAAGAAAAACTAACAAGAAATACCAGACTTGACTAAAGCACAGGCAGGCAGCAGTAGGCCTCTCGGCTGCCCGAGAACAAGTGCGCTTGCCCCTCTCTGCTGGGGCGCCTGTGGATTCGGGATGCAGCCTGGTTTTCAACTGCACTGGACAGTGTCCCGTGGGTGTGACCCATGACAGCGTATGTACTGTTTACTCGTATGACAAAGAAGGTTGTGGCTATATATATGATAGTGTTAAGCACTCTTTAAACAGATTAATACTTCTTAAGAACCATTAACCAAACTATTAAAATTTTCTTTTGAATAAAAGAAAGTTCATTTTGAGTATTTCCCTCCCCCCTATATTATAAGCAGAGCTGTTAAACTGTCTTCACACAAACTTAGTGTACTCTTGAAACCAATGAATTCTGCTTATTTTTCATTACTTTTGAGAAATTCATTGTAGCATTTTTAATAAAATAAGTATCAGTCAGTACTAAGATGAGAAAAACTCATAGAGAAGAGGCAAGATTTGCTTTTTATTTACCGAGGACATTCTCATAAGTTCAGAAAAGTTCAATAAGGGCCAGCAGGTGACGCCGTTGCTGGCAGACAGCAGTTCAAGTCCCAGACCCGGCAGCTTGAAAGTCATGCCAGGCACATGGGCATGCATTCCCAAAACCCCAAGAGAAGAATGGAGGAGAAGGGATTGCAGCATGACCATTCCCCCCGGGGATTGATTTCTCATTTTCTCTCTTTCTCCGGCAAGTGCACCCACCCTATAGCAAAAATGGGAAAAAAAAAAATGTTTTTAAA